AATCCTTACCAGACTTAGTGCTGGACGATACCAGGTCATATAGGCTATGCAGATGACCTGGCCATTATAATCAAGGGCAAACATGAAGGCGTAATAACAAGCCGAATGCAAAGTGCTCTAAACATCGTGAGAAATTGGAGCGAAGGCGAGGGATTAAGGAAACGAAGACGCAGATGGCCTCGCAAAAGAAGGGGCCTCAACGCCATACCATGGACCAGAGCCCTTAATGGAAAGCCACATCATGGAAGAACTCAACAAATGGGAAAAAGACCAACTGTCATCATATTGGAGGCACACTCCGGGACTAAGACAGTCAGGTTTATCATACCCTTTCAGCCAAAGAGCGGAACAGCTCCTAAACATGAACAGACCAGACATCAGAATAGTCGTAGAACTGCTCATAGGATACTGCCTGGTGAAATACCACTCAAGGTTAATGGGCAGAGCAGAAGACGATCTGTGCAGATTCTGCTCAGATGTAATAGAGACCACAGAGCACCTACTCTGCGAATTTCCAGCCCAATTCTGCAAGGCGCTCAAATTCCTCGAGGGGGCAATACTGTCATTAGAAGAAGTGAACCAACTGACACCCAGGAAAATAGCTTCCTTCGGCAGAAATCTACGCTTCCTGGAGACAATTTAAGATGTAGAGTCACGTACAAATTATCTACAAAGGTAGCAGTGCTGAGCGTGTGGAAAACGGAAACGACTCCCCCACAATCTACAATCTACAATGTTGGAACGCTGAATTAATTACGATAAAAATAAAGAGGGACTTTCATTTAAAAAAATGAAGTTACATATGACATGTAGATTGGTAAAGTTGGCAACATTACAAATACCACCATTGAATTGGGAATTTCCAAAAACCCGGTAGGGAAATATGGTACAATCGTGAGCATTGAAAGTGGGACATCTGATTTTTCCTATTGTAAAACGAGCTCATCAGCTATACAGACGGCAATAACAGGGATTATCATATTTGACAAAAAATCCATTGTAGAGAAAAGACTGATTTACCGAAAATAGCGAAAAATGACAAGACCTGTCAGTTGGGTGTCCCACTTTTAATGCTCACAACTGTACATTGCTCTTAAGCGCGTTCAGAAATATTAGGCCGTTTCCATACATAACTCGATACATAACGACAACCCTGTATAAATTTAATAGCGTTCAAATTTTATATTAAAGTTAGGCAATATTCAAACAAGTATGTTCCAAAACGCTCTTGAGAGCAAGATTTTCCTGCATCTCGCTCCTTTGTAAAGAATAGGCAATACTTAAGGCTTGAAATCATATTCTTTTGCTCACCTTCTGAATATCGTGGATGTATTTTGCCTAATTATTATTATAATTGGTTTCGTGCACGTGACGTCACTTAATTGACTCTGGAGGTAAGACAACCTAACCTTATCCGATTTGTTTATATGGAGTTGGAGTGTCATGCTTTCTTCTTTTGATATTTTTTCGGTGTTTTGGTTATATTTTTGTTTGATTTGCTGTTTAATATTTTATAAATACATTTATTTACGTTCATTCTGTATATTCGGCGGCATTGTTTGTATATCCTACAACCGCACAATACGAGGGTATTTTGACCCTAGTCTACATATACTACCCTAGGAAGTGAATTATTTTTCAATTAGAAACAAATTTTCAAAGGATTAGGAGGACTAGACGGCGATATTTCGAAAATAAACACATTTTTAGGTTATGTTACCTCCAAAAACCTCCAATGTGGTCACGTGCCGCACGAAACCCATAGGAAAGTGCAAATAAAACGAGACGTGTCTATTGACAAAATTAATTTGTTTGACAATAAATTATTTCTGGTTTCAGGAACCGACGAATATTTATGACGTCGTTATAATTTGTTTCAGTCAATTTTTATTTTTTAAAAAAGGAAGGCAAATGATGACGTAAGTATACAAACCCTGGAGAAACGAACTATAGCATATTTCTTGCTTCCTAGCAGCAAGTCGCACGTCGCATGCTACTTAGGTTTGAATACCCACTAACAGATACAGGATCGGTTAAATGGGCTCATTCACTAAAGTATAGATAGTTATAGTATTTTTCACAATAATTGGTATCGAGTTAATGACTACATTAAAACTACCCATTGTGTTCATGACCGAGCTCTTTCAAAACGTCCAGGTACTTAAAAGGAGTCAACCATTTATTGTGAAAAATACTTTACGTAATTTGCAGTTTGCAGGTAAGTACTTCAAAACTGTAAAAATATAAAATTCTTAAAACGCGCCAAACGATGACGTATGAGCATCATACCAATCAAATTTTAGACGAAAAAGCAAAAACACTGGTTCCCGTTGTTGCTGGGTAAAAAGTTTGATTGCGCTGTTGCTAGTAAGTAACTACTTAACTAATTTACCTATTTTTTTTGGTATCTCGCCACAATAATTTCAGAATTAAATCTATTCGCGAAAGGCCCCGAAGTAGGCGACATCTATGATCAACTTTGGTACTCAAAACTCAGTGAACAACAAAGCAAGTTTGCATTTGGCCCCCGGCATTGTTTCTGGAAGACACTGGAAGTTTTCAATTTTCTGCAGAATATTATTATTTTCATGTATTGTTTCTGTTATATAAATCACAAAAACTCCATAAAACAGAATTTAACAAAAACTAACCTCAAAAAACTGGCTTTGTTGTTCACTGAGTTCGGCAGACATATCAATGCTGACACTTAGTGGCAACACTCTCAATATTCAAGTTCCGTGTTTTCATTTAGAGAGTTTTCTTTTTTATTTATTTTTTCAAAAATGAAATTTTTTCTCCCTCACAATTTGGTATTATCAAATTAGAAATCTCACTTTCGTCTTTGTACCATCATCATGAACTTTATTTTTTTAAATACGGTTCTGTATTTTTTTATTCAGTTCTTTGTTAGTTTTTGATTTCCTCAATGGAATGGTGTATCAAAACAATCGATAAAATGGACATTTCAGTGAAAAAAGTATGTTGATTTGTATGGAGGTACCTACACATTGTTTCACGAGGGTTCATACTTTTTGCCTTCGATGTCAAAAGTATGAACCCTCGTGAAACGATCTCTGTACCTACTCATCTTTATCAAACAAATTTTTTTTTATTATTACCATAAAATAATGTGTTTGGCAAAGGTGAGTATCTCCATATAAATTACCATACTTTTTTGATTGAAATGTTCATCTTATCGATTGTTTTAATAAACCTCAAACAGCACAGAGACATCTTGAAGACGTTCCTAAGATGTCCACAAACGACATTCAAGACGTATTTTAGAGGTCTTCAAGACGTCTTAAAGATATCCCAAAGACGTCGTATGTAACAAAACCCAACGTCTTTCCGACATCTGCCTAAACGTCTTCAGCACTATATTCTTATTACTCATTTCATAACTTTCAATTTTTGTCTATACCAAACGCTAGGCTCTTAAATTCTGGGATTTATTTTAAACGAAAACATACACAAAATTCATTTTGAAAGGAAAGCATTAGAAGAGCCTGGAATGGGAAAAATTATAAAAATTCAAGAATTTTAATTAAATGAGAAACCTTCTCTTGCTAATATTTCCTCATTTTTACTCATTTTATAACTGTCAATTTTTTTCTATTCCAGCCCCTAGGCTCTCCGGAATAATTCTGAAGTTTTAAAATTAGTAGACAGCCTTTCAAAAGGCCACTGGAAAGTGTTTTGGAACGTTCTAAATGGCTTATATTAAAGTTCTACAGTGTTCTGACTTGGCTTGATGAGTTCTGGAGCTCTTTAGAAGTTTTTCAGTAATTTCTAAATTCTTCTGACAGATTTTTAAGTATTTTAGAGCCCTATTGAAGCTTCAAAGTGTTCTAATTTGGTTCAAAAGAGTTCTGAAAGGTTTCCAGTTCTAAATTGATTCCTATAATTATTCTGGAATAACTCTGAAGTTTCTGAATTGTTCTAAAATGCTTTTGGAAGTTGTGAATCGGATTTTGAAGCATTTTAAAATGGTTCTGAAATTTCCAAATTATTCTGAAGCGTTACATAATGCTTTTGTAAATTTTGAATAGAATTTGAAGTGTTTTGAACTTTCCAAAAGGCCTATTAAGGTTCTAAAGTGTTCTGTAGCATTTTAAAAGGCTTCCAGTAACGTCTAAATTGAATAAGAAACGAATTATGTAGGAAGTTTTTGTAGAAAACCGTATTTAAAAAAATAAGATGATGGTGGATGGTGGCCCAAAGTCGAAACGTTGGATTTCAAATTTGATTATGCCATATTGCAGAGGAGGAAAAGTAGCAACGATGAAGTGTCATTTATTTTGAAGTATCTCTTCAAATAAGCTCAGGAAAAAATAAAAACGATTTTGAAAAATTTTATGAGTTTTCACAAAATGTATTAGTGAGACATCAATGAGTGAGGAATTGCTTCAAAACAAGAACCACTTGGGTATAAAGTAACATGATATATTCAATTATCTCACCACGACTAATTTTGGAACCAAAAACTTCATTCACTCAAATCAAAAATTCCGCAACCTAATGTCGCCTGCCAAAATTTTTTTTTATACCTATCAAACCTGTGTCAAGTTGGTCTGGATGCGTCTCATGACGCTTTTGTGTTGTGATTCAAAAACTTCCTGACTACTTGTTAAATTCTCTTGATTTGATGCCAAAACGCTAACAAGTAGTACCGGTCGGTTTATAAATATCGAGAATTTAATTATAGATTGGAAAAAGGTTGCAGGAACCGATAAGCGTTTGGCTAAAATGGATTGTATCAATGCACCAAAAATGTTTAGACTAAATAATAATGCAACTATTTACTAAAAGCACTTATTATTGAAGTGATGGTGTTTATTTTGAAAGACATTATTTTAGTGTTAACTGTCCGCGTTTATGAGGAGCAATTTTCTGCAAACTTATTGTTATAAACAACTTTCAGCAGTATAAAGTTAATGATCTTCGACTTAGTCAAAAATATCAGTCAATGACATAAAAAAAAAATAGGAAACTTTTCTTACCGTTTTTCTCTTTGCTGTCCATGTCATCATCATCATCATCATCCAAATCTGAGTCATTGTTGTATCTTTTGTGAGTCATCAGGAAAGCTCTAGGCATGTTTATTCACAATCACGTATCGCGCAGTTCGATTTACTCAGGAAAAATTGAGCACAAATTGGATTATTCAAAAAATAATAACAGGTTGTTGACAATGCCACTTTTTGAAATAATTATTGCTGGTACTACCCTTAATCAAAAACAATTTGTGTTAGGTGATGTTAGGATGGAAAATATGTGTTGAGTGCGGAAAACTCGAAAACTAACTGAAAGATCTTAAGTCAGTACGCTTCAGCTATATTTACTTTTCGGGAACGTGCCAAGTTTCAGGTGGTAGGGAGAGCCGGGAACGCCTGAAACGCTGCTGAAATTTAGTGCGAGGGCAGAAGAGAATGACACTTTTTGGATTGACACGACTAGATTACAATGTCAAGTACTAGTTTTATTTTTGGAAAAACTACTTAGCCCTGATATTTATTTATTAAATTGGTCATTTGAAATAGGATCCTTAAAAATTTGGGGTTGTTTTGTGTGATGACTATAAAGCACGTTCTCACAAAGCAATTTTTGTTGTCCAATTAAATTCCACGGACGATATAGTAACTTCTTTAATACAGTGGATGTACATTATGTCAAACATACCTGGAGACGTGAAAAATGCATTCTCACTCGGTTTTCTATGCAGATGGTAAAATCGCCAGGTCTCTCTGTATATTTGACTTGTAGATGTGAAATACTGTAGCCCTTTTCACCCAAACTGAAAGATTCTTAATCGTTATGCAATATGCAATGGAATTCCTCGAGGAATTCCATGGAATACAAACTAAAAACATCGACTCATCAAGCAAACTAAGCAATCCCATTGAAATTCCACGGAGTCCCACTGCAATCCCACGGAATCCTATGGAACTACTGGAATCCCACATGCTTGTACACTATAATTCCAAAGTGGTTTTACACTATATTATGTAACAAAGTTTTACATTTTTAGCCAGGAAAAATGTTGATCATTCGATCACAAAATCGCTGATAACTCAAATAATATTCTACAAATTTAAATATTCCTAATCCAATTGAACGCTCTTTAAGATAAAATGAAATTGAATCGTTTATCTCCATTAGTTTTCGAGATGTTGAGCCTCAAAGTTGAAAATTTGTCTAAAATTGCGGAAAACCTTCAAAGCCGATTATCTCGGAAACGAAACCCTAGGACTCGGTGCCCTAACAATTCAACCTATACAACACTCGAAATTTAAAAATATAATGGTTAACAAAAAATATCGTGTTATTAATTATAAATTATTTTTCTTCATTATTCTTAATTTTTTCTAAATTCGGATCTCGGACTAAAATACCGCAATGTACCAAAGTACTAATCACAGATGTAACCCTCTCATGGGGATTGGTTCACGCATTTGGCCCCCACACATCAAAGAGCATTTTCGCCATGAATCTATTGGTCCCAGCTACAAGTACAATGGGCTGTTCCAGAAAGGTAAGCCTTGTAATTTGATAATAATTATACATTATAATAATTGTTATCCAAAAGAATCAGTTTATTGGTTTATTATTGAATTTGAGTGCTGAATTTCAATTATAACGTTAAAATGCAAAGACTCTCCTCGTACCTACTTGGTGTGTGCCTACTGCAGATGCCTGCAACCCGAGAACCATTTGTCCGGAGAGCGGGTGTACTCATTTTGCTATTTTTATTTGAAATAATAATTAGGGTCAGGTTTTTTTTTTTTTTGGTAATGAAAAAAAAAATAGATTTTGCCAAAATAACAAGGGAGGTGTTTTGAGGTCACGGATAGACGAAAAAATGGCCTCAATTTCCAGGCGAATTTGAGGATAGTGTTATAAGGCCACTGTCTCTCAATTATCCATCTATTATTATTTTTTTAGTTAATGAATATGGCGATACAATATTTTAGAAGACATGGCGGTTTATTAAAGCACAGTCTTACAAATCTTAAGTTGTTGTAAATGAACTTTATAATGGATGTTTCTAATTTCTCACAACCTTATCGTGAAAGGCTTGGGCATCAAAATAAAAGGCATATTGATTCAGGAGTAGTTGGAGTTGATACATAAGATAGTCAACTTTGTAAAGGATACATTTATAGATGCAAAAGCTGATCTCTATTTGAGGTTGATTTTGTAAGATTGAGAAATGTTTATTTTATGGAAAAAAGTCTGAGCTGCTGGAAAGCAGAACATGGTCTTGGTTTGTAATGATGCCGACTTGGAACTTCTGAAGTGAATGATAAATTTCTCTCACAAGGTTTGGTTTAACAAGAAATCCTCACTCAAACACTTATATTTCATGGAAATGAGGACAAAAAGTAGAAGATATATACTAATTGGTTATGATAACGATGATTTAGTTTGAAGAATCGAAGATAATTGTAAGATCTGGGAGATGTGATTTTCAAACAAACCAATACCTTTCCAGCTATTGTTCCATCAAAGCTGTTATGACTTCAAGAGAAAGAGAATCTGCAGTAATAGTTTACCTGGAGAAGTCAGGTGAAGATCAGTAGACCTAGACGACATACAATTTATAAAAATTTACAAGAAGGAAACTACATAAATTAATTACAATTTTAAAAAATGTCCTTCAACTTCCAAGTAAACTTTCCCAAAAATCTTTATTGAATACCTATATTGCAAATTACATAGAGTAGGTAACTACGTGTAGAATTTACATCGTATCATTTGGTGTTGATGAAAATATAACGTATAGGTACCTAGTCTTTTCCAACTCGTTAGTCAGTTGTAGCAAGTTGTAGTGTCCTCTATTCGTTATGGAATAATGTTTGTTATATTATGAGCTATTGCCAAACTACAAATTTGTCAGTGAAAATGCTATACTCGCGAAACGTTCTAGTGTCCTGGGTCCAAAATATTTGTACGAACTTTGATTCCGGCCACGGACGCTCTATGCGCTATACCGTCAACAAAGACCTGTTGAAAATTTTAGGGATTTTGGCAGCGGCGCAAATAAATTTTCGGTTCGAGTTCGACAGCTAAAATTAAAAATCTTACCGACGACGTCGCAACTTGCAAAAAACAGGTGGAAATCGTGAGGATATAATGATGTATTCATGGCGATTTTCATATTAAGGTTTTCAATCTGTAGGTTGTCTTTGCTTAATCTGTACATTTTTAATAACTTGAGGACAGGTTGACAGGTTAAGGATCTGTCTGTACTCGAAGGGTGGCTTATCACGCACAAGTAGGAAAAGTAACATTTTTCCTTTTCGACTTTGTTGCTGTGGCCTTTGAGGTTTGTGAATTGGGCAAGTCAGATGGGATCTTGGATAAAGACTGCGCCAACCTTTTGTCACGTGCGATAAGTTGCGTTTCCTTTTAAGGTGATTGATATGTTTACCCCGAGATTCCTCTACGCAGTGACAGCATTTTTCTTTGTTCCATCCATTTAATGAGCATATAGTGTATATTATACATCGTTTGGACCAATGTATTAATTTAGCACTGGGTTTTCGTTAAGTTTAAGCCACTTATCTTCTGTCCAGACTTTTATTATTCGTAAATTTGTTTGGTGACAAATTTTACAATTTTTGGACGAAACTCGGGTTTTCCTAGGTAAGTGACCTCAAAATTCTTGGATAAAATATCTTCCACTTGTTGAACATTTTCCTCAGTTTTACAGAGTATACCTACATAAATCATCCTGGAACTATTTGTCTTCCATTTTGTGACAGAAACATGAATCATACATGGGTCAGCTATGGATTGTTTTAGGTTTATTTCTTCCAAAAAGCTGACCAATTTATGATTCCATAATCTGGAAGACTGTTTCAAACCGTATATTATTTTCTTTCAATTAACAAACTCTCCCTGGCTCAACGTCAACACCTTGGGATTTTCAACATCTAAATCACCATTGAAAAATGCTGTTTTGATATCCAGTTGTTTAGTACATATCATTATGTACACAGGGAGCCAGCAAAATATCTTTAACTGGAAAAAAGGTTTCCTCGAAATCAATGCCTGGAATCTGTGTAAAACCTTGAGTCACTAATCTAGCTTTGAATCCCATCATCCATTTTCTGATTTTTTTTTCTTGAATATCCATTTGAATCCAACAGCTCTACAGTTTGGAGGCTCTTATTCTACTATTTCCCAAACTGTATTATTTTCCATGGACTCGAGTTTGTGTCTGATTGCCAAAATCCATATGTCTGAATCAACACAGGAAATATCTTCTTTGTAAGACCTCGATTCATCACTTGCTGAGCATAGAATCTCATACTGCTTTGGTGGTTTTCTTGATCTAACTTTTCTTTTTTACTGATAATGTTTTGAAGAAACACTATATTTTTTTCAATATCTCTATTAATTACTGCTTCTTTGATTTGAGCCTTTTTATGCATTTGATTATTTTTATTTTCCTCATTCTTTTCTATAATGCTTGGTCCAATATCTTCTATTTCGTTTCCTTCATTTTGATTTAAATCCTTTTCTTTATCAAACCTATTTTAAATTTCTTATTGCAAATCATATTTTTCTTTTGAAAAAATTGATTCTATAAAAATACCATCGTCTCTCAAAAATATATAGTTTCTGGTTCTGAATATTGTAGAATCTGTAACCATTCTTCTCTCCATATCCCACCACCAAAGCTTCTTGTGATCTAGGTAAAAATTTGTTTCCACTTGGTCGTATTTCTTCATTGATATGAATTGATGCATTTTGTCCAAAATATCTTTAATGATATATTTGCGGTTTTATTTCGAAAAACATCTCGTATGGTGTTTTTTTATGGAACAAATGGGGTAGCCTATTTGTTGTGTCGACTGAATGTGATACTGCTTCAGGCCATAGTGAATACGTAATATCTGCATCAATGAGTGATGTTTTTGTTATTAGTGTGTGTGTCAAGGAACGATCACAGGCTAGTTGAATAATTGTTATTTTGTTTTTGAGAGTTCAATTATTTATACAAGTATCATTTTTCCCTTTTTTATGTTTTTTTTTTTGTTTGTTTATAACATGTGCATTGTTCATGTATTTAACAAAAATCGTTTCATGCTGTAAACAACACAGAAAAAGAGTAAATTAAAACCCAGAAGAAATTATGTTCTCAGTCTTGTGTGCCAGGATTTTGATTATTGGATTTAAAACGTGCATTAGAGCCTTTGTTGAATTTACTAACATTTTCCTACCCTGACGAGAGAATATCCTAGCAAATTGAAATAATCAATCTAGAGATATTGGCTCAAAAACAACTATAGCTGAATAGCTTCCCGTATAGGACCTCAGTACCTGCTGGGAAACTGGCTAACCAACCAAAAACTCTTCAGTATTGAATATAGGTAGTGTTGATTGAATGTTGTGTGTGTAATTAAAATTTTAGCACAAAGACCAAGGCCGGTACCTAATTTAAACTTTTATTGACGAATTATTGAATTAATAACTCACAATTATTATTAAAATGACACAGTATGTTTCGATTTTTGAGGAATGTTAGATCGAGGGTTTCCCTGCCGTGCTCTTTCCCCTCGTTAGTTCCAGGATGAGAACGGTACGATTTACCTTAATAATAAAGTAGACGTTTCACAAATTTTTCGTTTCTCTTACATATCACAATTTCCCTTAAATTTCCCAAATATTTGCTATGTCGGGCGCATGTCCAGTAAGTAAAATTGAGTAAGTTTCCACAAAGTAGGTCCTATTTGTTTTTCATTTCGTTTTTCAGAAGATTTGTTGTTTATAAAAGGTAATAAAAATTCTCATCGTTCAATCTTACTGAACGAACCCGGAGATGTTATACTAAAGTCTGTTTTTTTTTTTAAAGATAATTCCCCAAGTCAAAAATTTAGTAACTATGTTGGCAACACAAGCCTTTCCTACATAAATAATTTGAAAGCATTGACAATTTTACATTGTATTGCCAACATAATGTCACTTTGACTTTTATCTTTAAAAAAAAAACACATTTTACAAAGTTTTTCAGGGAACTTAACCTATATTCTCCACCATTGTCACTTTTGAAGGTATCAATTTTCATTCTAGTTTGGCGTTCCATCCGCTGAACATCCCCTCGGATGTGGCCTTCTGTGTGTGTCTTTTTTGCTTCTCAACGCTATAAATAATTCCTGCACTCAAAATTTGCACAGTGGAAGCTGGAAGATCTACCAAACCCGTTAGATTAGGAGCCATCCTATTTTTCAAATAATCATACAATTGTTGTCTGTAATTGGTCATGTCGACGATTTGGTCGCAAAAATTGATGACATTTTCGATGTTTTCTTTAGATATTTCAGTGCCCATTGTAATGGATTAGACAAATTTGAGCCACCTGTATGTTCTCTTGTTCCAATAATTTTAACAGTTTTTGCATAACCCATATTGCAGGCGACTATTTTGCCTAATTCTGGACAGCTTGGACTACCATAGTATCAACCTTGTCCGGTGAAAATTTCAATTTATATCCAGTGGGCCAAACCTAAAACCATAACGGTCATTTCTTTCTTTGGACTCTCCAATGGGAAGCGAATGCATGTCATTAATTCTTGGACAGCGCATTGCAGTCTGTACTTTTCTTTGATGGCTGAGCCTAGTTTTGTGGACAGCAGTGCCAGCGACCAGCAATTGCTCGTGCATGTCGTTCATAGGTTTGTAACATGATTTTTGAGGCTTTTTGAAATTCTTGCCTTCTACAGCTGCTGTGGTCGCTACCAAAGCCTCTTTGAACTTTTCAAAGTCTTTCAATTTTTCTCTGAAATTGGAATTTTATGTGTTAGTTGATGATTTTTAGAAAAAATCTACAAATTTTTAGGTGTGTAGGATTTTTGGTATTTCATTATGATGTTAGGAAAACAGTACGGGGCAGTGGTAGTTTGAAGGTCATTTTTAGAAAATACTTCTGAGGTATTTTATGGGCATCTTGAGAAATTTTAGGATTTTGCGGGGTATTATATTGTGATTATTGGGACACTCAGAACCGCCACTAAGCCCATCAGAACCATACTGGATATGGGGTTGTTTTGTTAAGGAATTTGGTATAATTAAATTTCTGATTTTAAATGTAAGTTTCCTGTATGTTTAAATGTAATTTTTCTTTTCTTCTGTAGCTATCCCAGAGTGCTTTATCTTTTTGGTATATTTGTAATTTTTCATAATATGGTAGTACCCATTCTAGTACCTTATCATCCTTTGTGAATATAATTTCATTTTTATTTCCTTACATTTTTATTCTTTTTTCTCTGATTTTTGGCCATGATATCAAGGAACATTTTAAATGTGGCACATACAAAACCTCGTGCAAGGTAACTTTAATATACTTTCTTGATGGCAGTAGGTAAAACATTGAAACTTACTTCTCCAATATGAGTTACATACATGAATCATGACATCATCGTTCCCCAATCAAATTTGTTTCGAATATTTTTATATTTCAAATTTTTGAAAACAGCGTTGTTCCCTGACGTGGGAGGGAAGTTGCACCAGTGTCAAATATCCATTGATTTAAGTTTTTTCCTGTAAATGTAGGAGAAGCACAGTCTTCGTTATGTTTCTACAATATTCTAATTTGTGTCCTTTAAACAATTTTTTATTTTCCTTAGCAATATGAAGATTCTAGATTTCTGAAATTGAAATTTTAAATTCAAATTTGGATGGAAACAGAAATTCAAGAGCTTGGAATAGTTAAAAATTGAAACTAAAGACAAGAGGTATAGAGACAAGAACTCAAAGGAAATTTGTTCATTTTTCTTTTCTATTCCAGGCTTTTTACTTTTCCTTGATTTTTTTAAAGAAATAAACGTTATTCCAGGATTTTGACTGTTCGTTTATTCTTTTATGAAAAGAAATTTGGATGGAAACCAGAAATTCAAGAGCCTATAATAGTTGAAAAACTGAAACTAAAGAGAAGAGGAAAAGAGACAAGAATTTTAAGGATATTTGAATTATTGTTTTCTTTTCTATTCCAGGCCTTTGACGTTTCCTTGGTTCTTTCAAGGAAAGACATTTTATTCTAGGCTTTTGACTGTTTCTTGATTCTTTTATAATAAGAAATTTGGATGGAAACAGAAATTCAAGAGCTTGGAATAGTTGAAAATTGAAACTAAAGAGAAGAGGAATAGAGACAAGAATTTTAAGGAAAATTGATCATTTTTCT